CCCCCCCCCCATTGCTTTTGCTTCATTATGTGGCAAAGGGACACTCAGGCTTGCTTTATTACCAGCAGAAAACTCATGGACAGTGGGGGAAGTACTGCCTGAGAAACTTGCGTGGGTTTTGTGATAAGCTGGAAGGAAATGAAGATAGAAGTTAAGAGGCTTTCAAAGGGTTAAGTTTCCTTGCTGGTGGTTGAGTACCCATGGGTGGATGTGTGGTCACCCACACTCGGACCCCAACTGTTCTCCTGACTTCACTCCATCTGCAATCAGCCCCAAACCAGGATTAGTGGGGAGAGTGTCAGCATGCAAGAATCATTTATCAAGTGATGGAAAACTCATTTGTGTCCGGGAGTCCCTTGGCTGCACCAGCTGTCGTGAATGGAGCAGATGGAGAGCTGCAGGAACCCAACACCTCTGCAGATGGTCCCAAACAGAGCTGTGGCTGCCAGGGGCTGTAGGAACTTACTCCGCTTTAGTGGCTTTCTTGGGCTTGGGAGGAAACCTGCTAATCTCCTCCTTTTTGGGTTGGGAAACAGCTTTGGGGCATGAGTGCAGCTGTGACCTCTGCTGGGCATTCAGCCCTTGGCACCTGCTCTGCCATGAGCATGGATATTTCCAGAATTGTGGACTCTGACTGGGCATTGTGAAAGTGGGTGGGAGAAAACCACCTGTAATTGCTAGACAAGATGCAGCCTCTGTACAACACAGGGTGTTGCTCATGAGAGGTCAAATGGTATCCATAACCTTGTTATTTTCTTGTCTTGCAGCTGAGCTTGGTCCTGGCTCGATGCAACCCTCAATGCCACTATTTCCTCTGCTCCACAGAAGATAATTGAAGGATATTTCTCTTCTGGCTAATGTCAGTCCGCTTTGGTACAGCCTGACTCCTCTCGGGGTGTGAGCAATACCCCACATTGCCTTCAGATGGATGAAAGGAACTATATCAGCTGGCAAACCCTATCCCTGTTTTAACCTTCTGTGTGATTCTTTGGCCTTTTTTTTTTTTTTTTTTTTTTTAATCTGTCTCTGCTATGGAGATGGGAGGCTGTGGCTCTGTTTCCTCTCTTAAGTGTTGGAAGAGAGCGATCTGCTGCCCTGCTGAGCAGGCAAGGCTTTTGCTATGTGATAATGAATTTCTGCTTTTGTGGCCCTTGGTGGCTGAGTGGTGGCAGAGAGAGAGCTCAACAGCAACCTGGTAAAAGAACTGGTGTTTGAAAGGAGGGCAATGGGCAGATTTTGAGAAGACTGCAGAGAGAGTGTAAGGAGAGTGCAAGGACCACTTGTCACCCTATTGATGCCAGTTGTGGGTAAAGTCTTCCCCTGTTTACAATGCAGCCTCTGTTCCTCTACAACATCTGTTTTGAGGGACTTCTGTCTGTTGGTTTCTCTGTGTACATCAAATCACTTTCAACTTAGTCCTGTTTTTTTTGTTTAATTCCCAGATCATCCTTTAATCACAGTTCCATACCCATGCCAAAATGTTCCTGCCACTTTCCTGTCTCAACAGTGGCAACAGCAGCTTTGTTTCAAATAGCTGCTACCTATCTAAGATGGGTTGGAGGTCTCCTTTCCCAGGTGTGAGGAGTGTTGACCCCTGGTATTATCTCCCTTCTCTGGGAAAGTGATTTGCTTATTCTCTCACATGTGGGCTCCAGTGCCAGTGACTGAAACACTTCTGAAAGTCAGAGGTGGTGGGCACATTGATAACCTACTTGGAGCTGAACAGGATATCTGGGAAATGGCTGCTGCTCTTATGCTGGAAGCTGCCTTGGTGAAAGGGCGTCCTAGTGAATTGTTTGGGGAGGCCAAAGCTTGTTGTGAACTTGAGGAAACTGAATCCCCAGAGAGTGGCACTTCTGGCCTTGGGCCTGAGGTCTGCAAATCAGCTCCTAGGGCTGTTTCTGAACTCTCCCACTCCTTCATACTTCATGGTGTTAACATGTTCCCCCATCCCCTCTTTAAAATCTTATTCCTACTCTCTTCCCATGCCAACATAATTTTGCAAGTTGTTTCTACTCTCCTGGAGGGAGGACACATTGTCTCCATCCTGCATCAGTGTGCTTTCTGCTTAAATTTTGTGCCTCCTGGATTTTCCTCTTTTTGTAAGCATTTAATAAAATTTGAAGATGATGTTGTAATGATGGCAACTCTGAGAGTTCTTTTTTTGTGTAGGAGTTTCTGCAGCAAAGCTGTCTTCCAAGACTTTGCTACTCCCTGCTTGAGTGTAAAGTGGAGGAGAAGAAACATCAGTCTCAGTGATAAGAAGAAAAGAAGCTTGATATGCAGGAAAGGGGATTTCTCTGTGTCTGTCCCATTTTAGAAACTTGTCATTTTGCTGCATTTTTCTTTGGGGGGTAATTGGTGGTAAAACAGGAAGGGGTAGTGCTTGGGTTTAGAGATAGAGCAGCATGTAGAGACTTCTAGGGCATGGTCAGCTGGAAGCACAGAGCTTACCTCCCCAGGTAGTAGACCTGAGCAACATCACAGTCTGTAACCAAAATCCTGTCTCCCCTGCTTATCCAGCTTTGATAAGGTCAACATAGCTGTCTGTACTGGAACCCAGCATGCTAATGAGTTGATGACTCTATCTGGAACTGTCTAATGAAAAACCTTTTTATGGAGGTGACCTTCCAAGTAATAACACTGTTATTACTTGTGACAGTGAAGAGTTTCTGCTGTCCTTCCCTATGCTTTCCTAAAGTGTTAGGAAGAGGAAAGTTCACAGATAGCACTTGTTGCTTTTATCTTTCTACTTATTGGTACCCTTGTCCTTTCCATCTTCTGTTTCAGGCCCTGGAGGTAGGAATTCAAGGAGTCCATGTTCCTTAGAGCGCTGAGGAGAATGGACACCATCTGGCCACATCTTCTTCCCTTCAGCCCTTCCTCTGCCATGCTGGGATTTTCCAGTGAGGCTGGAGCAGTAATAGCGTGGGGGGTAGAGATATCCTAGCTTGAGGTGAAAACAGCACTACTTCACATGTGTGCAAACTGGTTGCTGCAATTTTTCAACTCTGTTCTGGGGTTGACTGGAGGAAAAGATGGCTGGAAACTTCTCCAGTTACTATTCTTGTGGCCTGCCAGTTTGGACAGCACAGATGAAGCTCCAGATGCTGCTTCTGTGAGAGTCCTTCTCGAAGGAGGGTTAATTTGTGAAGTATGTTTTCTCCACTTAAAGCCCACGTGGACCTAGGTGTGGTTTCAATAAACAACTGCAGTAATTCAGGTTCTGGTCACAGCAGAGAAGCGAGTGGGTTATGGGAGACCAGAGCTCTCTAGTGGTGGTCAGGAACCAGGGAAAGACCTGGCTTGGAACAGATGTGTGTACCTCTTTATGAGGTACTTAGATCTGCCAGAAGAAATGTTTCCACAGTTAAATTAACTTTTATGATATGCTGTTTCTCCTCCCAAAGTAACATGGTGTGCATGTGGTGGTGGGAGTGGCAGTGGGGTTACCAGAATAGTGAAACCTCCCTCCATCATGCCAAAAAGGAAAAAAAAAAAAAGATGCTGCAGCCCAGGTATACTGGATGTGCATTTCTGTATTTAAGAGGGGATGGAGACTCATTTCTCCAGTCAGCAGCAAACTGTAGGGACTTGTGGTGGTTTTTTGTTGCTCCCTTCACAAGAAAATGTGGCGTCGGTGAAGTGCTTCTGCTCATCTGTTGCTGAAATGAAAAGCTCCCACAGGTGAATTTGCTGGGGAGAAACCACGGCGTGTGGTGTGAAGTTACACTGTGACCTTTGCAAAGCCACCCTGCTTGCAGCTCTTCTGCTTGTCACTGGGACCTCTGCCCGCCTAGGAAGGGCTTCTGGGGACTTGCCCTGCTCGCGTGAGCAAAGGGCAGCAGGAGGGTGCCCCTCTGTAGCAGTAACCAGTCTGGTCTTACTCCATAGCTGACCGCTCCATATCTTTCCTACGTTCAGTTTTCACACCGCTGTGTTTTTTGCAGGACTGGCATGTCAGAGGCTTTCATTAGGAGACATTTGCTCAGACTGCTTCTGGGACTGCTATATTCTGAGCATAAGGGCAAACTAAGGTACTGAGTGAGTCTTTCTTGCAGGATTAGGTTTGCCCTCAGAGCCTGGTGGAGAAGAGTGATGCTTTCCTGGTCCCTGTATCTGCTGGTTGCCTGTGTCTCTGTCCCCTGTTCTGCCATGCTACCCCAAATTACTATTCCCTGGCAGTCTGGCCATGTCTGAGACAGTAGCTGGAACCCCCATATTACTGCTCTGATCTTGAGGCAGCCCTCAAGGTGTTGCTTCACTGTAGTTCCTTCCTTCTCCATCTTGGCTAGATTATGCAGCACAGGAACATCCCTTACAGCATCTGCTCTGAAATAAATGAGGGGGGCTATGGTAATACTGAAATGTGCTGCTTGTGGCAGGGTTCAGGGCTGCTTTTTTTTCCCAACAGGATTTTACAGATGGTTCTACACAAATGTTTGCAAGATGGAATTGAAAAACGTTGTAGTGCCTGTTTCCTGCAGGCCATAAACCAACATTATTTAAACTTGGGGAAAGCTTATCTGATGGATAACTCAAGTCTCTTTTGAATGTTACATTTTATGTAGCACTTGTTCTGTCTTGAGACTGTGGGCCAAACTTCATCTTGTAGTCTTTTCAGGTATAAAATAATTATAGGCTCATTTTTATGTCTATCCTAGTGTATATGTGCTCACTAAGTAACAGTTCTCTACTCAACCCTTGCAGCTCTGCACTGGGCCTACAGTGAGGCAATGGACACAAGAGTCTAGAGTTTCAAAATTACTTTGTTCCTTGAAATGTGTCTGCAGTTTCTGCTCTTTGGAAGAAAGGTCAGCCTCAGAGACACCTGAGCCTGAATGTCAGAGCTTTGCCTCCTGCCACCACCACCTTCAGGAAGGAAAATAAACAAGTTTAAAGAGCAGGGCAGCTATAAATAATGAGGTGGCAGCTGATATGCTGCTGAACAAGGTTCTGAGGTTGGTCCATTTCTAATTCTTGGCAGCTCAACACACTTTTCCTGATACTACATTACATACATACATACAGACGTATGTACATATGTATGTGTTTTAAAGCAGGTAAAGAATGAATCTCATGTTGGCAAGAAGTGCAATTGCAGCTACCCTTTACTTCAGTAGTGTTGACCCATTATTTACTATATATATGGGGCAGACCTGAGGTGACTTCCCTGTGCTTTTGCATTGAGTTCCCTCGGGGTTTAAGTTGCAGTGGAATGATTTGATTTAGATCAGAAATTTTCAGAAATGTGTCTCATCTCTTCTTGTTAAGTGATGGTTTAGCAACGCTAAAGACATGCATTCTTCATTCTTCAAATAAATAGAAAGAAGTATCATGGCCTTGGGGCTTCTGAGGATGAGGGGAGAATTGGGGCGGCGGGGGAGACTGAAGCAAAGTAAGGGGAAGATATCGTTGGGATTTATATGAGCAAGCACTCTAAAGCATGAAAGCAGCCATGTGCAAGTGTAATTACTCAATCAGAGGTGCTTGGCTGGGTAGGGAGGTCTTCCTCAAGGTTGCAGAGAGACTGAGTGGTTGCTGTGAGCACCTCAAATGGTCTCCTGCCTTGCTTACCTTCCCTGGGGACACCCCAAAACAGCAGCTGCAGGCATTGGTCCTGGCTCCCATCCTGTTGCTCAGTCTTCATCCCCACTGTCAGACTGTCTCATCCATTTGCGCATAAATAGCCTGAGAGTGAGACCCAGGCCATGTCTTGAATGGTCAAGCCTGATCCCTTATCTTTGGAGACGCATCTAGTCTAGATCTAGGGTGTCCAAGGACAGTCTCCTGAATCCCAAAGGGATTGTGCCCTAGATGTCTAAAGCAGATGCAGTGAGCACATCTCCCAAAGCAAACAATTGATGGAGAAACAATCTACCACAAAAATCAGAAATCAATATTGACTGAAGGAAAAGAAATTCACTACTTACTGATGTGTAATTTGTTTCCATCTGAAATCATGTGCATGTTGGGTGCATCGTGTTACTCGGTCCAGTTTATAAAATTAACAGCTGATTGTTCCTTCAAGATCATGTCAGATGCTGATTTCTTGTGATTTTTAGAGCCCTGTAGGTAAGTTCAAAACACCAGATGGAAAAGAGTGTTTACAGTAGCCACTAAGTACAAGCAGTTTCTCAAAAATAAATAAAGGGACTTTTTAAAAGCATGAAAATTTCCATCACCTAAAATTAGCATGAAGAAGGGCTATCGAGTAACACCACTGCATGCTCCTAACTTTGGCCCTGCGAAGCTCGGCATCTCAAGTACTGGACAGGTGAAGGGCAGATGATGGTGATATTGCCAGGACAGCTATTCTAGCAGAGTAGCTCCAGGCAATGAAACCAGCTGGAGGCTTTTCAAGTTGGCTGTCAGATTTACTGTTTTGCAAAAGTCAGGGTTGCTAAATGCAAATTTGGAGCTGTGCTTTAATTGTTACCTTCCCAGTAACGGAAGAAAGCAAATGCTGGCTCTGTCTCTGCTTGTTCCTGGCGAGGGACATGCAAGTGCAGAAAATGCTGCACTGGGAGCAGAGGGTGTTTGGAGTTGATTAGTATGGTGAATTTTATTTGGGGGTGTTTATGTGCAGTTTGACTCAAAGATCTGGTTCAAGACTGCTT